AAATAAAGGAGGCCAAGAGTTAGAAAAAAAAGAGAGATGGCCGAGAGAAAGAGAGAGATGGCAGCAATTTGAGAGAAGAGATAAAAAGGGGTTTAAATGAAAAAATAGAAAGTCTCGGTGAGAGGAAAGAGGCTAAGAAAAGGAAAAAGAGAATTTCTATATAAAAGACAAAGAGTGTTTAAATGCAAGAAAAGAGGGGTTGCACATAATACTAATTATTTATAAAGAGGCTTTGATAAATTCTTAGTTACTAACTTCTTCTTTGCCAAACAATATTTCTTCTCTTTTGCAGGATTTTGAAGATGTCTTTCCTGAAGATATTCCTAATGTATTGCCACCTTTACGTGGCATTGAGCATCAAACTAGTTTTGTTCCTGGATCACAAGTCCCAATTAGGCCAGCTTATAGGAGTAACCCAGAAGAGACAAAAGAACTTCAAAGGCAAGTTGAGGAGTTGCTTGAGAAAAGCTTTGTGAGAGAGAGTATGAGCCCTTACTCTGTTCCGTCCTATTGGTACCCAAAAAGGATAGAACTTGGAGGATGTGCGTGGATTGTAGAGCAATCAACAAGATTACGGTGAAGTATCGACATACTATTCCACGTCTTGATGACATGTTGGATCAATTACATGGATCCAAAATCTTTTCTAAAATTGATCTAAAAAGTGATTACCATCAGATTCTAATGAATCCTGGAGATGAATGGAAAACTGCTTTTAAGATCAAATATGGGCTTTATGAGTGTTTAGTTATGCCTTTTGGCCTGATTAATGCACCTAACATTTCCATGAGATTAATGAATTATATCTTTAAGGATTTTCATGGGAAATTCGTTGTGGTGTATTTAGATGATATCTTGAGCTTTTCTAACACTTTAGAAGAGCATGTAGAACACCTAAAATAAGTTTTTGAAGTTCTTAAAAAGCAACTTTTACTTGCTAATCTTAAAAAGTGTACTTTTTGTGGATCGTGTGATTTTCTTGGGTTTTGTAGTTAGTTCTAAAGGAGTTGAGGTTGATGAAGAGAAAATCAAAGCAATAAAAGAATGGCCTAAACCTAAGAGTGTAACTGAAGTTAGGAGTTTTCATGGACTTGCTAGTTTTTATAGGAGGTTTGTGAGAGACTTTAGTACCATTGCTTCTCCTTTAACTGAAGTTATTAAAAAGGATAAGATTTTTAAATGGGGAAAAGAACAAGATGATGCTTTTAACTTGTTGAAAGAAAAGTTATGTTCTGCTCCATTGTTACAATTGCCTGATTTTTCTAAATCTTTTGAAATTGAATGTGATGCTTCGGGCAAAGGAATANTGTTATTAAAAAGGATAAGATTTTTACATGGGGAAAAGAACAAGATGATGTTTTTAACTTGTTGAAAGAAAAGTAATGTTCTGCTCCATTATTACAATTGCCTGATTTTTCTAAATCTTTTGAAATTGAATGTGATGCTTCTGCAATGGAATATGTGTTGTTTTGATGCAAGATTCTAAACATATTACCTACTTTTGTGAAAAGTTGATTGGAGCCACATGTTATTTCACTTATGGCAAAGAGCTATATGATTTGCTAAGGGTTTTATCCACATGGCAACATTCTTGTGGCCAAGAGAGTTTGTCATTAAAAACTAGACCATGAATCCTTGAAATACTTGAAGAGTCAAGGTAAGCTTAGTAGAAGGCATGCTAAGTGGGTTGAGTTCATTGAAACTTTTCCTTATGTAATTTCTTACAAACAAGGGAAAGAGAATGTTGTTGCTAATGTACTTTCAAGAAGGTATGTCTTAGTTTCCACCCCGACTTCTAAATTGATGGGTTTTGATCAAATCAAGGGACTTTATGCTAATGATGTTGATTTTGGCAAGATTTTTGCAGATTGTAAGTTGGGTCCTTTTGAGAGGTTTAATCTCCAAGATGTGTTTCTCTTTTAAGGAAAATAAGTTGTGTATCCCTAATTGTTCTTTACATGAAGTATTTGCAAGGGAAGCACATTGTGGAGGGCTTATGGGTCACTTTGGAGTCCCAAAGACACTAGACATACTTGCTGAAAATTTTGTTTGGCCTGGAATGAGAAAAAATGTTGAAAAAATGTGTGCACAATGTTTGGAATGTAAACAAGATAAATCTAAAGTATTACCGCATGGTCCTTATACGCCATTATATGTTCCTACTTCAACTTGGATTGATATTTCTATGGGTTATGTGTTAGGTTTTTCTAGAACAAGGTATGATAAGGATAGTATATTTGTTGTGGTAGATAGGTTCTCCAAAATGACTCGTTTTATTCCTTGTTTAAAGACTAATGAGGCTTCACATGTTACTGATCTATTTGTAAAAGAAGCTGTTAAATTGCATGATATATCTAGAACTATTGTTAGTGATAGGGATGCTAAGTTTTTGAGCCTTTTTGGCATGTATTTTGGGGGAAGTTAGGTACTAAGTTGTTATTTTCTACTTCTTGTCACCCACAAACTGATGGACAAACTGAAGTAGTTAATAGAACCTTAGGAAATATGTTGAGGGATATTTTGAAAGGTATATTAAGTTCTTGGGAATATCACTTACCTATGATTGAATTTGCTTACAACAGAACAATCCATTCTTCTACTGGTATGTCTCCTTTTAAGGTCGTTTACGGTTTTAATCCCTTTACTTCCCTTGATTTATTACCATTACCTACTAATGATATTACTAATCTTGATGGTAGGACAAAGGTTGAGATGATGAAAAAAATTCATGAGCAAACAAGACATGCAATTGAGAATAAAAATGAGAAAGCTGCCTTGAGAAAAAATAAAGATCGAAAACAAGTTGTTTTTAAACATGGGGATTTAGTTTGGGTTCACTTAGAAAGGAGAGATTTCCTTCCAGAAGGAAGTCAAAACTGCATTCTAGAGGAGATATCCCCTTTGAAGTCCTTGAAAGAATTGGAGACAATGCTTACAAGCTTGACCTTCCTAGTGAGTTTCAAGTAAGTACACCATTCAATGTTATTGACTTGTCTTTGTTTGATGTAGGATTGAATTTGGGGACCCAATATTTTCAATAAGATGGGAATGATAACATCAAGGACAAGGATAAATTGTTGGAAGCTCCAAGAAGGTCATTTACAATATCTCAAGCTAAAGAGTTGCAGATCAATGGCCAATAAAAAAGTTTTTAATTGTATGGGAAGAGCTCAAGCCCAAAGAGATGAATTGTCCAAGTTTTACAATTATTTGGTGGCCCAAATTGAAGTCCAAGAGGAGGAACATTGGGTCACCAAGTCAGCCCTTGAAGTCTATGAAAAATGCTCAAAATGAGCTTAAAAGGGTCCAAAAATGGGTGTTTCAGAAAGACCCCAATTGGAGTCCAAACCAATGGCCCAAACTAGTAGTTTTAAGGTCTAAATCTTTCCAAAGGGATTTGGCCGCTCACTATGTTATTTTTCTTGTTTCTTTTATTCCTTAGCAGCCACCTTACCTAATTTTGATGACTTTTTTTTTCCTTTAGCAGCCACCCTACCTAATTTTGATGACTTTTGTTACACTTTAGCAGCCCCACCACCTAATTTTAAGGACTTTTACTCCTATAAATAAGGAGTTCTTCTCATTCGTTGAGGCACTTCATTATTGATTAAGAATATCATACTTTGAGAGTTCTTTTAAATCTTTGTTACTTATGCTTTGAGATTTATCTTTCAACCTTTACTAGTTCATAGTTCTAGGTAGTAAGATTACTTCTCTATTGTGATAATTGATTCATTTGTAGTATTCTTAGAAGGCGATTAATACTAGTTATTGATTGTTGTCTCAAGTTACTCGTAAAGAGGTCAAAATCCGAATTTATTGTTTTGATTTGGTTTTAAGTAAATTCGTTTGATTTCTTCAATAAATCAAAACGTTGCTTGGATCTTGTCAAGGCTATAGAACTTGCGTTCTTGGAATTTTTTCCTTGAATTTTCCTATATCCTTTATTTTCTGCACTTCAATTCTAGTTGTTCAATTCCTTATTATTATTTGTTCCGCATTTACTTCTCAAATTCTTACTCTAGTTTGGATTCCCGACCTTTTTGTTATCAGACATGACCCTAGATAGGAGGGTGTGAAGGTTGAGGATTAAGGTAGAAAGTTAATAAGTAGTCGTGTGTTTCCCTTTGTCTTCAGTAGTTCGTTAGTGTCAGTATTAGTATGGTACCCTTTTATCCCGAGTTTGCTATTTTTCGCATATCTTATTCTGTTATTACTTGTCACCAATATTTTCTTAGTTTGCTAACAGTGCTCCTTTCATGGTCTCTATTGCTATCGGACCTCGGATTTAGTTTCTCTAAATAGATTGTTTGATATTACTTGCTATCGGTACTTCTTTCATATTCTTTATTGCTATCTTCAATTTAGTTTCCTAATATTTGTCTTGCTATGAATTGATATCAGTGTCTGTTCATCTTCTTTAGCCGAGGGTCTATCCTCCTCAGACCCCACTTGTGGGATTTGCACCGGGTTATTGTTGTTGTTGTACTAGACTTAAATAATTTATCAAAATTTAATAGTATTTTATTGCCATTAAGAAACCCAAACCGATCAGGTTCATTAGAGCTATAGCTCTAGGGATGTTACTTGTTTGTAATTAGGAGTTTAGCTCCCAAAGTTGGCAAAAATAAGGTTAAGAGTATTCGAGAAGGTAGATATCTTTTGCCAGTCGCTGATAGACCAAACATATAGCTTTACACGATACATCTGCCCAAGTTGAACAACCAGCCAGCTGTTTAAATTTTTCTGAATCCAAACAAGTTGTTATAGCTTTCAACTGTTCAGATACTGTTTCCCTGTGAATGTTCCATAACTTCTTAGACTGCATCCTAATCACAAGTTCCTGACAAGTCTAATGTCCAAAAGAAACCAAAACTTGATCTCCTTCCACATAATATTTTAGAAAACGCCAATAATTCCTGAGAGAGATTCACCACTCTCAGTAATGCAGGTAGAAATCCAAGACATTACCCAATACAATGTTAGCAGAAAACCAAAAGTAGGGAATATCTGATTTGTGTTTTCTACTGAAAATATTACGTAAATACAAAGTCAGAAAGGATTCAATTAAGAACTAAAAGTATACCAGCGTGATTTACACTTTGTCATCACACAACAATTGAAAGTAAATTTACAAGTCTATAAGCAGAGACCATTAGTAAAAATCCCCACGACCACAACTCCAAGTGACATGGCCATCTGAGAAGCTTAATCATCACTAGAAGTATGGCGAAGTTGGAAAAATAAGCTAGTTACAAGGCCTACATCCTCCTTCAGAATCTTTTATCTGCAGAGTTAAGTAGCATTATTGACATACATCATTCTTAATGCTGGAGAAAATGAGTAATAACATGTTTGCCAAGTTTCTTTTTTGGCCAAAAGTGCTTTTTTCAAAAGTACTTTTGGTGAGAAGCAGTTTGTGTTTGGCTAATTAGTTTAAAAAGCACTTCTGAGCAGCAATTAGTGTTTGGCCAAGCTTTTGGAAGGAAAAAAAGTGCTTTTGAGGAGAAGCAGAAGCAGTTTTGGAGAAGCAGAAAAAAGTAGCTTCTCTCTGAAAGAACTTTTGAGAAAAATACACTTAGAAACAGTTTTTTAAAGCTTGGCCAAACACTAATTGCTGCTCAGAAGTGCTTTTTAAACTAATTAGCCAAACACAAACTGCTTCTCACCAAAAGTACTTTTGAAAAAAGCACTTTTGAAAAAAAGCACTTCCCAAAATAAGCTGATTTTTGCAGCTTGGCCAAACGGGCTATAAGTCTGTCATAAAACAGCAGAGGAGAAGGTGTTCCGTGTTTGCTTAGTATATATGTTTGTAAGTGAAGAAAGGTAGGCAGACCTTAACAGGTCCATTCATGCGCTCTCAAATCGAACAACTACACATGTGATGTTGTCAGAACTCCCCCTTGAATAAGCTTCTTCTATAAGCTTACGTGATGCTGCTTCAGCATCTTTTATGTCCTGCACGATGGCCACAGCATCCTGTATGTAATGAAGAGAAGTTATACCCTTGAAAATTCATAACTAGTTGATGCAACTTCTAGTTGCATAGGAAGAGAGAAAATTAACATGCATGAATATTTTGGACCACTCAGCAAATATCAACATGTTACACACACAACAGCAAAGCTTGCATGTTGAATCACTGCAAAGCTACTGTCATATGCTAACAATCATGAAACTAGAATTACACAAGAAGCTACTAATTTTAAAGAGAAAACTTCCCTGGTTTGTTACTTTCTTCTACCTGTATAAACAAGGAATGTGTAAAAGTATTACACAAGGATCTAGGAATCATCCCTAACCAAACTTGAGCTTGCCTAAGCAAAATAGCTTCCCTTGAATATTCACCTGTGGATCGAGCTCTAAGCTTAAGAACCAGTTCCAATTTTTCCGGAGCATAATAATCTCCACTTTCAAACTCCCTGAATATTGAATATATTAAGAAGTCTTTCCCCCTCAATTTCAAGACCAGGACCATGAAAATTTTGAGCTTAAGTTTGAATTATAAAATACAGTTCCTGACCACTAATGAGCTTTTCAAAGATTTTAATAGTAACAGTTTTTTGATATCCCTCCTTTGAAGGACAAGCTCCAGATTCGTCCAAATAAAGACAGAAGAAATAGAAGAAACGCCTCGCAAGATGTATTCAAATTCAATCCTTAAAACCAAGCTCTGAGGTCTCAAGTATACATTTAGCATTGTCATCTTACTGAGGGTTTGTAAGTTGAGGAAAACTTGTTAGTGTTGAAACCCCAAGAAAGGTGTATAACACGTTTAGCAAATGAAACCTGACCTTGTTAGACAGGACATTCCAAAGTCCATCACTTGCAATTATGATAAAATCTACACCATCAATTTCTTCTTCCTGAAAAAGGAGATCAAATATCAATGCACTGAACATCAATACAAATCATCAACTTCGGAAGCTAAGAGAGAGAGAGAGAGAGAGAGAGAGAGAGAGAGAGATGTAAGTAGCAATATTTCGGTTCAGTAAAACAACTGGGTTACAATATCAGAACAAAACAAGCAAATCAACAACAACAACAACCAACCCAGTTTAATCCCACGAGTGAGCTCTTGGTTGGGTAATCAAAGGGTCAAGATGTGCTAAGAAAAACACAGCATTAATTCAGGGAAACCAAAAATACTTCAGCTGCTAAATACTAGAAAATAAAAGATATAGCTGAATGTCAGTTTCCCCCAGTATGCTTATGTTATAAGTGCAACGTACCAGCTCAAACTTTTTCTACTGAGATACAGTGTACCGACACTCCTTGCATAGGAAACTGCCAAACCTCTATGCAAATGTATCTTTCTTCCATCTACAAGTGTGGGGCAAAATAGCAATGTTTTCTCATGAAATGATTGTGAATTCTGATGGTTATGGTCTCATTTAAACAGTGGTGGAATAGGAGAAAAAGGAAGGGCTTTGTATTTCTAGTTTCCTTGCCTTCTTCCCTATTCTAAATTTCATCACAGTTCAGGTCAATATGCTCAATTACTGCTCAATTTTCATACAACAGGTACAATGGAGGGAAATTAATGCATTCCTCCAAAACTTAAAGGCTGGTCTGAGAAACAAATTCGTAGAGCGAAGAAATACGTTCTGACAAAATATTTTAACACAGGCAGCTTGGCCTCGAGTTCTCATTTTACCCTACCATTCCAAGTGTATTTTTAAGCAACCCTTTATTATGCAATAGTTTCACTTGAATAGCAATTGAAATAACTAGACAACTTACACTCACTGCTGCTACTAAAGGCCACGAGTGTATGATGAAGAGCTCATTAAGCATCCTACCTTATTGTTGGGAAATGTATTGCCTCATAGCGAAGGCTAATTTTTCCCTAATCTCATGCTTTCAAAATGATTAATAAAATGCATTAGTTGATAACTGAGTTCGTAGGGACGAGCGAGCATAAATTTCCATGAATGTTTCAAGTTATGTTTTAAATGAGAAGGCATACATGATATAAGTGTTTATGCAAGTTTTGTAAGTTATGTTTCATTAGTTTTCACTTGAATTAAGTTCATAAAGTTTATAAAGCTTTTAAATGATTTATATGACATGTTCAAACGCTTGTATTATGTTTTCATGGTTGAGAAAGTTATGTTGAGTTATGTATGCGGCCAAAGGGTGCCGAATCAAGTTTTAAATGTTTTAGGAGTACACTTCGTAAACTGAGAGGGTTAAGGCCTAGAAACAACACGTGCCAGTGTAGGAGTAGAGTTTGAGTATAATCATGTTGCTAGCAACCTCCATATCAGATCCATAAAAGGTTTTGGTGAGATGGCACATTTGATCGAGTCAATACCCTAGGTCGGACATGTCACACCATGCGGCCTTATGGTGAGACGGTCCTCCAACCGAGCTGATACCTAGACTGCATAGTTTGAGTTAGTGAGCTTATGCACTCCCCAGTTATAGATATGCTTTACGATATGAAATGAAAATATTTAAGTTTAAAGTTTCTACACGTTGTCAAGTTTTGAAATGCTTTATAATGTTGTGATTATGCATTCACGTTTTCTGTAAGTATCGCTTACCCTTCTGTGAGGGAGACAGTGATACTCATGCAGTACTTTATTATTATACCCACGTCCCTCTGCAGGGGCGTTCACTCATGTTGTGATTGTAAGTGTTGATACTCCGGGCGACTCTACCACCTTCTAGGTTTCTCCTTCACATTCCCAATTTTTGGTGAGCCCACTTTATGCCGTGGGGATTGGTTATTGACTTTTTTTAATCTTTGGGTATAGCGGAGGCCTTGTCACCGGTATTCATTTAGCCAAGGAAAAACAACCACCATCTTGGTTTTGACACTCAAGCGATCCACCCAACTAAAGAAGATCGATTCAAAGGTTAGATTTCACCACCTCTATCTATCCAACTAGTACTAGCTTGGTGCTCGGAAATGATCGAAGTAGTTGAATAGGAGGATCACTATGACTATAACCCTTGGTAAGTTTATCAAAGACGAAAATGATTTATTTGAAATTATGTATGACTGGTTACGGAGGTACATAGGCTCCATAGACGTTGTAGGTCTAGTTTATGTCCGTGACTGGTTACGGAGGTACATAGGCTCCATAGACGTTGTAGGTCTAGTTTATGTCCTTTTGTCATTCTACTGAACTCTCATATTCATGTATCAATAACTATTTAATGTCTTAGGATATTTATAAACTTATGCAAATGTTTATGAAGAGTTTCATGTTTCCTATTCCTGCATGATCATGTTTAGAAAGTTGGTTTGCTCGATGGTAAGTTTAAGACATCAAGTGCCAATCTGTCCGTCCAGTTTTTGGGCATGACATAGGAAGTGGTGTTGGTAGGGTAGATGTAGGTTACCATATGAACCAAAAAAGTTCCATTTAGAGAAGCTAAAAACACGATAACTTCCCTTATAATCTCAAACTGCATTCCCGAATAATACATCACAAGGTGACAGTGGAGAATCATACTTCTGATTAACACCATACTCTTGAGCCTTGACAAATCAAGCAAATAGAGCAGGAAATGAAGACAAACTATTGCTTGAAGAACAAAAGCCAAAATACCTGAATCTCTGGGTCTGCCACAACATATGGCTTTAGCAGTTTATCTCCAAATGCACGAGAAACAGCCAGGACCCCACCTACACGCCATGTACCTGAAGAACAGAGCAGCAGGACACTGCATTGAATTCAACTAACAGGAAAAACAGGATGTAACATATTTACATGCGGTAATAAATTTCACTGGAAAGCACCTAAGGCATGCAAACATGGATATGTAGTATTGCTCATATAAGGCACTGCCAGGTAAAGAAACCACATGAAGCAGTTGCATAATAAAGAAACCACATGAACCACATTTAAGAGCACAAGTTTCAAAGTCTTCCTTTCTTTCTTAACCTTCATGACCATTTGGAATTTGCCACATATTAAACAGAGGGAGTAATATTTAACTAAACAGTTGCATAATAAATTCTCCTAGCCCAGTAACAGACAATGGTTGAATAGCAAATTTTTGAAGGTTGCAAGGGCTACCCAATGTGATTTTGGAAGATTCTGAATGGAAATGTACAGAACCTGATAGAAAAAAAGAGAAAGAATTTGATTACATATAAAAAAGAGCGCTGGCATAATACAATTCTTCGTGACTTCAGTCTCCGGTAGCATTTACTGGTCCAATCAAGCACCAAGAAACACATACAAAGAGACTGCAACAGACTTTTACCTGCCCAGATGATGAAACCGCCAGCCTGTTCTATCCTTTCACGCTCATCAGATCTGTCAGGCTTGTGATCGATGGACAAAGGAATAGCTGCATTTATTGCAACAGTTATGCCGCACAACCAAATAACAAAAAATGAATAAAATCTTTTAAAAATCTTAAATGTGCAATAATCATTCAACATGATGAAATCACTTCCGGAACTCACTTTAGAAATTTGAGGGAAAAAATAATTAAGTTCATATATGTTGGAATTAGAGAAGAATATAGACAGCCACCATCTAGTTCATCAAGATTTTGTGATATACTAGGGAATAAAGCTCAAGAGTCAAGCCCAATTAGAATGATTGTTTTCTTCCACTCATACCATCATTTAGCAAACTAGTTTGCACACGCATACATTGCACACCATAAAAACAGAGAATCAAGAATATTTTTTCTTATAAATTTATAATTTTGTAAGACGGTAAATACATAAGTATATGGGTATAGCAGAATATAAAACTGCTGAAAGTAATTCCATCGGTCCTAAGATATATAGCACCATTCGACGAGTGAATTTAAAATGTTTCTAGTTGATTTTTAAATGTAAACTTGGCAAACCAAATTCTTGAAAAATTAAAACATTTATAGATTTTCTCACGAAGACCTTGGTCTAGAAAACAGTTGTTTGCCTTCTCAAATAATAAGTACTCCATATAAGCTGGGTTAGGAATGTTTTACTTTTAATTTCTCATTCCAATGAATTTGTCATGTTATTTCACTTCCTTTAGTGTTTCAATTCAAAATCTAACAATTGAAGTAACTGGATATCTTACACTCGATAAGGAAAAAATAGATACCTAATAATTCTCTATGTGGTGATTTTTATTAGAACTGATATTTAAATATATAAAACCAAATATATTGTGTAGTTATTGTTTTGTAAATTTCCATCAATGAGGAGTATTTTTCTTTATTTATCCACTATATTAGGTCAACAATTCTAGTTTAACTTCATCATCTTTCCTTTTTGTTTCTCTCTGGCACGATTTACCTCGTGATGGTAAGTTAATTCTATTATTTTGTAAGGAATTACATGTAATCTTTTTGTTTCACTCGTTCTCTGCTGATAGTAATACCACTAAATTATCTTAATTAACACCTAAATTGCATAATGATTTCTTCTTAATTTTGTAAATCTAACTTCAAACAGAAATATTCCTCCATTTCAAAATAACTACATTTCATTTTTAGTCGGTACATAAAAAATTATAAGTACATTTCCTTCTCAATCCATACAGTGAAAAATAGGAACTTCACTTAAGTGTCCCAAAAAATTTCACCTTCAATTAAAGGGGATCAAATTAGGTGAACCTTGACGAACAGTTAAAATGTACTCTTTCGCATTTTTCGTACAAAAAGTTCTGCAATTTGTAGTACTTTACTACTTTTCATGTAGGTTCCAAATATCTTGAGAAGTTAATCTTAGTCCAAGTTAATAACGAAAATAGATTTAACAACTTACTATACAAATAATACTAACTCAAATATAATTAAGTAAAGCATATGTTCTCAAAGTTTAACTAAATAATAAACAACTTTAATGGTGTGATGATCTTTTCCTTGTTACAACTTTATTGAAAGATTTCAACAAACCAACTATTTCAGTTTTTAGTCACCTTAAGTCAAATAATTTATTAGTGGTTTATAAAGTAAATTTAGGAACTCAAATCTTATAATTTACCTTATCCAAAAAAGTAAACTTCAATTCATAAGATTGGTACTAAAAGAAAATTAAATTAGTTTAGCTTTTTCTTTTTTGGCACATCTGCATGGAATATAATTGCCTAGCAATTATTTGAATATTATTCCGTAAAAAACAAATCTAATCTAATTTGTCAGATTGAAGTTTTATTTAGATTACACATTATTAAGATTATACAATTTTTATTTCTGATGGTGTTTAGTGTGAAAGATTTATCTTATCCGAAAATGTTTGATTTCACAGCAATGCAATATGACGTAGTAGTTTACGATTTATTTTCAGATAAAAGGGAAAATCAAAGAGATTAAATTCAATGCCTTATACTAATTTATTTTGATTATTTGATTTTTATGCTTGTGGTATTTGGTTGTATAAATTATATTTTCTACATTTGTAAATATGCTTTTCCTAAGTAATTGTCCCTCTTATTATGGAATACCATACATTAGACATATTAAACTTTTGGAAACATAATTAATCAATCAACCATTCAAGCAATACCAAATATTTCCTGAATTTGAAAAGAAAAATGGATGCTCAGTTCCGCTCCAAAATTTTGGAAAGTATAATATGGGGTTGGAAAAACCAAAACACTTTACTGGCAAATCATTGAGACTTTATAGATAGTATAGATAAGAAACATCCAATTATACCTAGTCTTCTTCTTATCAATATGAGTAAAGAACTTTTATTCGTAAGACTAACCCGTATACAAAAAAGTATAAAAAGAACCATGCCAGTTAAGTTTCCTACCTACAAACTGCAGCAATCATTTATACACATCATGAGAACTTCAAACACATAAGAATAAAAAACAATGCCTTTTTTGGTAAAGAATTTATCCTTGTTCTTTTTTTTTCTTCTTGATAGCCAAGAAATCCCAAGGGTCGGTGGCACACGGTTTGAAACTCGGTGGATAATAGGTCTGCACCTCTATTCTTCTCCACTTAAATACCGGACTTTTGTCTACAGCAGAATTCGAACCCATGACGCACCTAACCCACATATCATGATGTGTTGTGCTCTTACCACTAGACCAAAGCCCTAAGACAGAATTTAACCTTATTTTCACTATCAACTATTCAGATCTTTGACTAACATCTGCATTTTCTCTGGCCTTCTTTTTGTTGGTCCTTTTTTCTGCTAATAAGATTATTTGTTACAGCGTCAATGTCAACTTGCAAGACACACCAATTAGGAAAGATGGACAAAGAAGAAAATCAAAGACTACAACATAAAGAAACGTGGCAGATTTCCTTAATTATCTTATTTCCCTAGAAAACAGGACAAGCTTTTCACAAATTATAATTTTTAAAGCTCTTGTGAGCACCTAGAGCAAAAAGATTGCTTGGAAGATCTGAAATGTACTCAGTTATTCTTCTTTTGTTTGCTCAGGTTTATATACTTTCTTTAAATGGATAACGCTCACCTTTTTTTATCAGATAAACTTTTATTGATATGAGAATGAAGAAAGTGCTGAAAGTTATAACATGTAGTTCCAGAATCACAATTATAAACAGCCCAAAAGAGTACTTCTCATAAATCTACTGAAACACTCCCTCCCCTGTGAGTTCTACCACTTTCATATGTACTTTCTTTAATAAAGCATTTATCTATAACAAAGATAAGCCACAAAAGAAAAATAACCAACCTTGCGTTAAACCAAACTATATATACGTCTCTCTGAAAACCAAGTCGTGTTTGTGAAAATTTTGCATATTATATAGAGACAAGCAACAAACCTGAGCCATCTCTACAAGCGACGACTCTAGAGTCTCCCACATTTGCAACAACCAATCTATCACCTAAAAGAACAGCAGTTGATGCTGTTGAACCAGCATCTTTTTGCTGGCCTTTTTCTTCATTAAGGTAATCGGCGTCGGTTTGCTTAAATGCTTCAACTGCATTCAGGAACCTTTCCCATTAAATGATACAGAAGACAGAAGATAGGATGAATTTAGAAATTACACAGAATATGTCTCCTCTGATTCATACCTATAGCTGACTTCGTATCTTTGATAAAATCAGGATGACCACTCAAATTCTTAAAGAGGTTGTTCTTCAGGTATTCTGCTGTTCTTGAACCACCGTGACCTAATAACAAGCAGAATATAAAGGGATAAGCAATTATCCAGGTCACCAAAAGGTTTTTTTCATGCTTTGATTTTCCTATCTACAACAATTAAGATGACATTAAATCAAGAATTACACTCAGAAAGTACAAAAAGCCTATCCTGAAACGATATGCAAGAAATACTGAGAGATACCATCAAAAACACCAAAGAATGCCACCATTTGACCATCGACTTCTGATATCCTTGTCTCATAAAAGTCCTCCATAGAAGCCCGTTTCCCCTTAAAACTAGCATATCCGTAGCTGAACTTAGCACTTTTGTTTCCAGTCAGAAAGCTTCAAGAAAAGAAAAATAAATCAATTAGTTTCTTATAAAAGTTCACCCCAAACATATCCTTAGAAATAAATAGCACTGCATTAATTGTTGCTCGCCACAATGAAGATACAGCCATTTTGAAAATCTAAAAATCTGAACAAAAGAAAATGCATTTATCAGCCTGAATTTGAATGTTAATATCCACAACCAAAGCAGGCAACCAGGCTGAAGTTCAAGACATAACTTGCCCAGTGACCGGCTCTTTAAGCTACAGAACATATCCCACAGTGGAGTATATTTTGATATGGGTAAGTATTAAACAAAGCACTATTAGGAAACTGGATTTGGAGATATGGGATGGAAGATCAGGGTGGAGGTAGGTCAGTGATGAGATATGGAGTCCAAGGAAAGGGAGGTCCAATTACATCTTATGTTGCTCGGACACTTCAAAAATTTCGTCGGGTACGTGTCGGATCCTCCAAAAGTAGTATATTTTTGGAGGATCCGACACGGGTGTGACATCATTTTAGAGATTCTGCTCAACATAGATTACATCCTATAGCTATATGAAATTGCTCATTCAATGAGCATAATGAAAGAGTGGAAGGATATTTATAAGAATTTCACTTTCCGAGAATCAAAATAGGAAATGGACCCATAATCAATTTATGGAAACAGAGACGGCACATGGATGCCTCTTTCTGTGGAATTTTTCCATGTCTTTCAGTATATCTCGTCAGCGGATGGCAATAGCGGCCAGGCCAGCAAGAACAGCCGGAGAGTATCTTCTTTAATCTTTATTTTTTGGATAAGTACAGTAGGAGGGAGTATTATCGAATCAAAATCTCTCAAAATAGACCTAGGTTTGAAGCAGAAATAGAACATATTTGCGGCTTCGTGTATGGCGCAGACATAATACTTTGATATGTATTTCCCAACTAATTCTCTCTTGCCAACAGTATTAGATCGTAGCTAAGGTTTTAAGGCTGAGTGGAGACCAAACAGAAGAATGGTTCCCATTGACATTATGCAATGATATATAGATTGAAGAGATAAACTTTATGTATGGAAAAAGCTCGTAATTGAAGTAATTCTCTGCTACATCTTGTTACCGCTTGTTTCGTTAGGATATCATGATCTCATGAGGAAATCACTTATCAAAGGTGCCTACTTTATATGTTCATATTACACCTTTGGTAAATACTGCCCCCAACTTTGTAAATCAAAGAATACTTTGGAAAAAGAAAAATCCAACTTTACACCATAATTTCGAGTATAAATAGCAACTGCAAACTCTCATTATCCTTTATCACACTACAAAAAATAACCAAAATAATCATAAACTCGGAATGATTAACGAGCAGTCCATAGTGCAGTAGGAAAAAAAGTGGAGAGCCATTATCATTTCTCGAATCACAAAAAATAAAAAATAACGATGGACAATTTACAGCATTAACAACAACTAACAGCGAATAAATTCAGCAGAAAGAAAGAAAAATAAAACAGGAGAGCAATAATGCAGTTAACCTAATACCGCCGCCGCTAAAGAGGGCATTGGGATCAATAGAAGGAATCATGACAGTTGTTGACGGCGTCTGTTTCATCTGCGGTGGCGCAGTGGGCTCTTTCAGTGGTTGCCGTGACGGGGTCGCTGCCGGTGCCGGCGGATGGTTCTCCACGGACGGTGGAGAAAGTTCTGGAAGGTTACGATCGGATTCTTTCTTGTCAACGTTCATCATGGTCAGTCGTTTTTTTTTTTTTTACTTCTTATGTGCGAAAAAAGTATCAGTTTATTAGATTTTTAAAAAAAAAATGGAACCGAATTATGGACTGCTAAATTCGGTTTTTTTTTTTTTTGAGTTACCTTTTCTGCCCCTTAATCCTAACTGCTTTTTGCTGTACTCCCTTCGTTTTTTACTTTCCTTTTCTGCGCATAACGAAAACAACCTGTGATAAACTTAGAAGAAGATTCTGCACCACAAATACAGTTAAACCTAGAGAGAGAAAAAATGCAGTTAAACCTAGAATTAATGTCCTTGGGCTTGGACCATGAAATTTGTTAAAACTCGTCATATATTATTCGAGTGATCTAATAATAAATCAATTATTAATCTATTGAGGGATCTAAAAATGTGAAAAATTACTTATATTGATAATGCATGTAATTTTAAACCCTTCAGGATAGTATCATATTTTCATCTTCCACTTCTTTTAATTCTTTTAGTGGAAGCAACTTTGAATTTTAGCGCACACAGAAAAAAAAAATATAAACTACGATACAGTATTAAATTTAAGAATTGATAATTTTTATAAAATAGTGTGATCAAAAATTATATTCCTTGTTATTTTAAAGTGTTACGTTTAAATAACGATTTTATCTGAAACAATATTTGCAAGTTTTATCATCATTTGGTCTATAAACAAAGTTTTGGAAATTGATGTTGCAAAATAAAAATGAGGCACCCACAAAGAATTACAATTTAATAAAAAAATTTAGAAAAAGTAACCCCTATACAAAATTACTTTATTTTCATATATTATGTGTAAAATAAGATATATTTAAAATAACATAAAACTAAAACTACAAAACCGTACTCTCTTCCGTTTATAATAAGGGATTAATTTGCTTTGGACACACTCATTAAGAAAATATTAAATTCTAGATGAAAATAGCTAGTGTGACTAAACTACCATTTATTAAATGTTACACCATAGTTATACTAGTATTTATTTTCTCAAATATGAAGAGTAAATGACTTTTTACATATACATATTTGAAAAAACTAATTAAATTTTTTTTATTATATAATGAATACTTATTTTGGACTAAAATAAAAAAAAATGTCAATTGGGAGGGATTATAAATTATCAAATGTGACCTCACATTCACAAAACCCCTGTCTCGATCAATTCAATCAATTTTTTTGCAGTTATTTTCTCACGCTTTTTCCTTGTTCTCAAGACAAAAATTGAATAAACAAAAAAAATTATGGAACTCAAAATACCGTTTCATATGCAACATTCGGCGTTGTTGTAGATCTATCTGACATCATTCTTCTCTACCCAAATCTTCAACTTTCACCATTATCTTTGATTTGTTCCCCAAAGTGTACTGTTAGTAAAGCAACTGTTTCGCAGATTTACTCTGAACAAACACTCGAAATTTTGTTTTAGTTAGTAGTCGCCGGAAAATGAGGAGGAGGAACTCGGATTTCCGGCGGCCGGTAAGGCGGCGATTCTCCAATGTGTTTTGGTTAACTGTGTGTGGATTGGCTATATTGCTGCTCATCATTTTGCTCAGCAGAGAAACTCGCGATTCATCGTCTAGATTGGTTTATACTAAGGTAATATTCATTGTTATAGCATTTATAAATTGCTGATTTTTTTCTTCTGTTTTAAGCTAAGAAATCCTTTTTTTCCCGTGGAATTACTTAGATGAGCTTGTGTCGGTTATGGAATTTTGAGCTTTCGGTTGCTCAGTTTTCCATTTAGAGTTCTCAATATTTTGTTTTACATCCTAATTTTATGTAGATTTTGATTTGTGATCCAAATAGCTCTTTGTTTCAATGTATCTCTTAGATGGCATACAACCAATTCACCAGACCTAGTTATTATATTGTACCATTATTAGGTGTAATTGTCATTGCAATACTTGGTAAATGATGGTTATTTTGGCTTAGGAATTGGCTATATAGCAACTTAGGCGGCATGTTGATCTGCTGAAACAACAAGGAAAAGCTGGAAATATTATGAAACTTCATGTGGAAAATGAATTTATCTCTATATGCAAAAATTACTTTATGCTGGTTGGTTTATTTTTTATTTGTTTTAAAATGTAAAGTATGAAGTTTTTATTTCTTCCAAAGGTATATTCCAAGTGAATTTGAATTAATTTTTTCTTATCGAAGAGCACTCAATTCTGTCAGGATATGTATCATCCCCCCACCCCACCCCAAAAGTCCCTTATCATTGGTGTTTTAGTGCCTGACAACGAATTAGTAGATAATTTTTGTCAACTTTTCTATTTCCTATTACCTTTTGATATTATTATCGTGGGACAAAGTGTCAAGAAGTACTTTTGCGCTATAATTTGATTTCATTGATTAGTCAAAGAATCATGACTACATTAGCCTTTTAGGGTGAGTTTGTAAACCAATTTGACGTTATTTCAGTTACCATGAGAGTTAGGTATTGATTTTGGCAAAAGCTGTAAAGCCGAAAGATATCTTATGTGGTATGGGTAGTGTTTAAAAATATTTGACTTCTTTGAGGCTTCGAACTGACATATTTGTCTTTCTAGAGTTTAGGGTATCATGAAGGACTCTTGGTACTGATGGATAAAAGCAAATTTGGTCAAAGGACCAAGAAAAGAAAAAAGAAGAGGGATTATTCTTGTGTAAGACATTAGTGTACCATAAAGGTCTACCAAATTAATGCCCTCAGCCTCAACTAAATCTGCTTCAAAGATGAGTAAGATGACAAACAAAGAGAAATAAGTTAAACATCCTACTTTAGGACATGGAAGATTATAGCACTATTTAGTCTTTTTCTACCAAATTGAACCTTTTGGGAACATTGAGAAGTCCAAACGTGTTGGCTAGTTCCTAAATTGAAAATACCAGATTGTACTCCCCCATTTCTTGAAGAATTAAATGAAACCGATAGTTGTCCAATTAATATATAAGTAATTGCGGCTTTCACATTTTCTTAATGTAGCACTAAACAATACGATACAGTTTGATTTTTATTTAGGTGGTTCCTTTATCAAGCCGTGATAATCAAAGACATACGAAGTAGCTTGATTTGAGAAGCTTCTTAGTAAAAGCGTAAATATTCCTAATCGGGGAGAAGAAAGTTAGAAAAACAAAAAGAGAACGTTTGTTGACAATATCTGGGAATGTTTTTGGAATTTACTGATTCTATGGCAACTTCTTTTTGCAAAAAATATTTCTACACGCGTGGACCTTTGTCCAGAAATTTATGATACTTCTTTGTCCTTTCTTTTCTCTGACCTCCCCAATCTTACTTTTATGAAATATGAACTTAAATCTTTTCATTCAACTATATATATTTATCCATTTGGAGCAACTGTTAAGTTGTCTCTCAGGTTCGAGCCGTGGAATCATCTGCTGATGCTTGCATCAGAGTAGGCTACCTACGTCATACCCCCTTGGGGTGCGGCCCTTTCCCGGACCTCGCGTGAACGCGGGATGCTTTGTGCACCGAGCTGCCCCTTTGTAGTGTTTTTTTATTGCCAACAGTTTTACTGGGTTGTTGCTGTTGTTGTAACATTCTTTGCTGCATTGTTTCTAGGCCAAAATGGTATCTGCTTAACTGAAACCAGAGTGGAAAAAGAAAAAATGTTGTTGGTGATGCTAGAAACTTGAATAGGTTCCCCGTTAATGCTTAGTATTTTAAAATGTGAAAAATGCACAACGACGCCAAAATCTTGTGGAGCTTCAAGTACAAGAGAGCGACTAAAGAGCAGCTTTAGTGAGAAAACACAAACAAGGGGAAAAAAAAAAGAAGAAATATATATGTTGCGCAAGAAAAACAATTGTCTACCAAAACAACACACAAAGGAATTGGAAAAACTACAATAAGTAACATATAACAACAACTGCGCCTCAGTCTCGTGTCATTATCATACTAAAGGAATTGGCTAACAAGAAGTGAAGTATATGAAGTAAAGATCATGTCAATGAAGTTCAAAAACCATTTTAGATCTGTTTCCAGATGCAATACAATGCAATTTTAAGTTTCTATCGAACTTAGTGTTTAGTTTTCCTATACTAAATTTCTAATTCATAGTCTTAATCACTAACTTATTCGTTTATGATGTTCATATAGCATTTGATATAACACTTTGCCAGGTGTACTCATTGTTTTATGCCGCCTTATTTAAGACAGGCCCATTGTCTTTGCACCTCAAATGAGTACAACTATACTATTAATTCTTATTGCTGAGATTCTGTCCCTCTACTCATTTGAGAATGAAAAAAATTGTGGAAATCTGAACAAAACACCATAGGTTGTGTGCCATTTAGAGATTAGTGATAATTCCAATGCCGATGAGAGATTAATTCTTATGACGTTCTGCCCGATCTGAATAATACTGTGCTGTAACTTGTGTGTAGTGGTACATTGATTAAACAATAGGAATTGGGTGCTGGATTCCTTATTTACCTACCAAGACAGTTACATATCGTTGGAGGAAGGATTTAGTAACTCACTAGCTGAAGCCTGTTGCAATAGAGATTTTTTAACTTATTTAATAGCTGCAATTTGTTTTTCCCTCTGTCAGACAGTCTCTTGTGAGCTTATGGAGAAATCTGAATGTGTCCTCTTATTCATTTCTTTGCAGAGGCCATATAGACATGATAGAAGTGGGGATGGTCTCAACATCACTGAAGAAATGCTGAGGCCGGAATCAATGGCACGACAACTTAATGATCAGATTTCTCTCGCTAAGGCAATTGTCGTAATTGCAAAAGAAAGCAACAACCTTCAATTTGCATGGGAACTAAGCGCTCAAATCCGCAACTCACAGATGCTTCTTTCTAATGCTGCATCAAGAAGAAGTCCCTTGACGAACAGAGAATCAGAAAATGCAATTCGAGATATGGCACTTCTGCTTTACCAAGCCCAGCAATTTCACTATGACAGTGCAACCATGTTTATGAGACTGAAAGCTAAAATCCAAAGCCTTGAAGAACAGATGAACTCCTTCAGTGAGAAGAGTTCAAAATATGGACAAATAGCTGCTGAAGAAGTCCCTAAAAGTCTGTACTGCCTTGGTGTCCGGTTAACAGCTGAATGGTTCAGAAGTTCAAATTTGGAGAGAAAACTCAAGGAAGAAAAGCAAGTAGCTGCCAAACTTGTGGACACCGGTCTGTATCATTTCTGTGTATTTTCTGACAACATCCTTGCAACTTCAGTTGTGGTGAATTCAACAGCTATGAATTCCAAGAATCCTGATATGGTCGTCTTCCACCTTGTAACTGACGAGGTGAACTACGCTGCAATGAAGGCATGGTTCACCATGAACAGTTTCCGAGGAGTGACTGTTGATGTACAGAAGTTTGAAGACTTTAGTTGGTTAAATGCTTCATATGTACCTGTTCTCAAACAACTTCAAGACTCTGACACCCAGAACTACTACTTCTCTGGCAACCATGATAACAGCCGAACTCCGATCAAGTTCAGAAACCCTAAATATCTATCTATGCTTAACCATCTGAGGTTCTATATTCCAGAAGTTTTTCCTGCACTGAAGAAGGTTGTATTTCTTGATGATGATGTTGTAGTGCAGAAGGATCTTTCAGCTCTGTTCTCCATAGACATGAATGGCAATGTAAATGGTGCAGTGGAGACTTGCATGGAGACATTTCATAGATATCACAAGTACCTAAATTATTCTCACCCACTTATACGTCAACATTTTGATCCTGATGCATGTGGGTGGGCCTTCGGGATGAATGTTTTCGATTTGGTTGAGTGGCGAAAAAGGAATGTTACTGGCATATATCATTACTGGCAGGAAAAGAATGTCGACCGCACTTTGTGGAAGCTTGGCACACTACCACCTGGACTGCTGACCTTCTATGGATTGACAGAGGCTTTGAATCCTTCATGGCATGTCTTAGGTTTGGGTTACACGAATGTCGATTCCAAATTGATAGAAAAGGGGGCTGTGCTGCATTACAATGGTAACTCAAAACCCTGGTTGAAGATTGGTATCGAAAAGTACAAACCTCTTTGGGAAAAATATGTTGATTATGGTCATCCTTTATTACAACTTTGCAACTTTCACTAAATTGGGATTATTGATTTATCGTAGTTCTAATAGAAGTGGTGGTCATTGATAAATTTATCGTTCTGGAAATCCGTAAGGGACTCTGTGAGATCGGAAGGTCTTAACTATTGTAATCTCTGTATTTAAACAGTTTTCCAGTTTATTGTAGTATAGACTTAAAGCATCAAGGCATCAAAATTGTCATCTTCTCTTGTTATATGATTCTATTAGTCATAATGGATATAATTTTGTGCTGTTGTATGATCTGGCCTGTTGGGCTAGTGGCTAGCATTTTAGTTTTGATCAAGTGGCCTGTTGTGCAGCTCTTTAGAAAATGTTTTCTCATTCATCCAATCACCTTAGTTTTTCCACATATAAAGAAGTAAGAAAAGAACAAGAACTATTACCCGATTATGGAAAACAAATCCGCAACCTTTTGCCATGCAAGAAAAGGGTAAAATCTAATTTTATAAACATACAGGAACCTACTATTAGGGGTGTAAGTGGATATCCAAAAATCTAATAAACCGACCGAACCGTACTGTATCGAATTAATTTTCAGGTTTCTTTTAATAAAATCGTAGGTTTTTATATAATACTATAACCGTACCGATAATTAGAATAGGTTTTTTATTTTATGAAAAAAACCGAACTGTATTGAATAAATTTACATGTAGAAAATATATTTATATATTAAATTTAAAAATAATAAAACATTAAAAAAAATTGGGCCTTTAAATTATAAAAATAGTTACAAGCCAACGGGTAATTAAACTCAAAATTCCTAATTTTCAAACCTATTATGCTACTTCTATTGAAACTAAATAATTTCCAGCATATTCACTAGCAAGACACAAGGTATTCTAGCGATTATGAGTAGCAAACTGCAATGTATTGAATATGTTTCATTTTGTATGATTTAAATTTATCTTTTTGAATATTTAAACTTTCATAGACTTTATTCTTGAGCCCCAGATTGGTAAATATCTTTTTATTCATGTGATTTATATTATTTTTGTCTTTACTTGATATTACACCCCATGTTTTCATACATGAAAGTACGCCATAGATAAGTTGACGGAAGCTCGAAAAATGAGATATTACATCCCGCATTTTTCGTACGTTAAAGTTTCGTCGTAAGTTAATCGACGTAAGTTCGGGAATGGGATTATTTTGAGATTATAAGCATTATGTTATTTCAAACAAGTGATTAATAAATTTGTGAAGGTGAGAGGGTAAGCAAATTGAAGAAAATAAATTTCATCGAAGTTTGACATTTTGGGATGAAATACGGCCGAGCTAAAATACCCGGTATTTATAGACTAGTACCATACAAGATACCACATGGTCATGATAGTAAAGTGTGTTAAAAGTGAGTAGTATTCTAAGTAATTTGGGATAATTCTTAATTATGTGGGTAATTGATTAATTATTGATTAGTGGGAGATTAACAAATTAATCAAGAGATTAGTGGATAATTAATTAGAATTGTGGATAAGCTTAAATGCCAAAACGTGGCAGCCACTTAATTTACGGTTGATGACTCTTACAAGCCACTTGATTAGACTTTGGCTTAGTCATCACATTGAAAAGACTTAGTCATTGATCAATAACGTGAAGATCCTAGCAGTTCTGCAATTTATGCAACGTAGCTATCCGCATATGTTAAAAGCAACAAGAAAACTTCATCTCCAACTTCTGGAGAGAGTTATGGAAGCTTAGTTGTATTACCTATGACAGCAAAAATGCTTAGATGTCATAAATGACACTATATGATAAGATTAATAACATTTCTTCTCCTATTCATTTTTTAAGAATGAGATCAATAGCGATTGTCATTGGCTTAGTCCTCACCTTTGCAAAGTAATATTATTAGCTCAAAATTTTGCAATGGTAACATGAGATTTCTCTGAAATACTACACCGTTCAACGTGAAATGCTAATTCAAAGAAGGTCTGGTGCAACCTTTCTCAAGAATATCATACGGATTCTTCCCTATTCGGATCCTCCGTTACGTGTTTTTGTAAAAGAGAATCGGTTCAGGTATGTTAAGGTTATCCCTTCTTTCCTTTTGTCATGATCCATACGATACAAATAAAACGAGCAAATGCACAACTTTCATAAATGACTCTATTCATAGAAGTATTAGGGGTGCCTATGTTCTTGAATTCCCATGTCTTATTGTCTATCGTCTGTTGATGGGTTTCAGAAAAATACGTAAGTTGAAAAAGTTTACATCATGATATTATTCAAAGTCATAATGGTCTTATGACATTCCGAGAGATTTTATTGACGTACTTCTCATGCATTGTATTTATTTATACATGTACATTGACCCATGACCAGATGGCGTTATATACGTGTGTGTGTGTGTATATATATATATATATATATATATATATATATATATATATATATATATATATATATAT